CCTGAACACCAAGTCATTAATCGTCAAGCCGTTAAGATGCGCAGTAAACCCGGTTTAAATTGTGGTTCAACATCTTGCTCGACTAGTGATCTCAGCCCCTCTACGCTGTGTTGTTCCATGGATTTACCTGCTTTAGATCTAAAAATTTTATATTAGGCAGTCTATTAATAATATAATTTTAGTGTTACATGCTATAACGGCCTACAGGACCCTTATTATAAGCGTCTAATTCTAGTAGATTACTTTGGTGGCCTAATCCTTGGGACTTTAAAGTTGTTAGGGTATCTGTATTTGGAATGGGGTTATTATAAACATTATAGATTTCCTTTTGTATTTACTTTTCTAAATGTTACCTTATAAGTGCATAGACCTAATTTACTAAATGGTGGTAACTAGGATATAGTAAGGTGTTTTACGTTAGATACCTTGACTTCTAACTGGAAAACCCCTTAGGGCGTTCAGGAGATCATGAGATTATGTATAGTAGCGTAAATAAGTCTTAGGTGTTTCTTCTATGATAATAGCATGTCTATATGTTAGATCTTTTAGATACTATTTCTTTTGCGGATTGGGGGTGAGAAGGCTCTACTGCACAGTGTTAAGTCTGTTAAGTCTTGGTTCTCGTATTGTTCTGCCAATAGAATTTATGTTTCAGGCTATGCTACTATAAGAATCACTCACGGATTTGTAACTAGTGTAGCGTATTATGCTGTTTTATCCCTTTTCTTGCCGCTTAGCGTATTTATAATCGGATAGATAATCTTCTCTTTATAAGGGCTTAGCTATGTTAATACGTTTAAATAACACTGCGGCCTAAATAAAGGGCTTGTTCTAAGCACTGTACGTATGCTACGTCAATTGGCTAAAACGAGGTGACCTGGTAATACCGAAGCTCTTAGTGCAAGGAAACAGCTTAAGATAATCGATTCACATACGAATATCAGCTTCTGAGGGGCTCAGCTGTGTTATAAGACACACTTATGTGACACGGGAGGTTAAACACAGGGGATTAGCCAAGGTTCTGTGTCTACACTTTATATAGTCATCTTCGTCGGTAGCCTGCAGACAGCAAAAGAAATAGGGTGGGAACAAATACCAGGAGAGTCTCGGCCGTTCATTATCGGAAACAGCTACAGATAATGGCGACAACTGAGCGGTGAGAGGCTTGAACGGCTTTTACAGTCAGGCGCAAGCATTCTCTGTATAGAAAATACTGTGCGCCTTTTCTCTAGACCGTACTAGGTATAAGCACTTGAATCACTGGTCTGTGAGATTAGGTGATTAATGAAACTACGACGGAGAGACTATGCAGTAGAAGGCTTGTCTGATCTTGTTTTGTATAATGAGGTCGTAGCCGTCTTGAGTGTCATACACCTGCTATAGACCGATAACGTAAAGTGGCAGGCTTTTCATGCCGACTTTTATTACAGGCGGCGATGAATCGAAATGTAAATCGTTGAATTGTGCTGCGTTCTTGGGCCGTAGAGGAGATCCAGGTTAAAGGTCTTAAAGTTGTCTGCTGTACGCACTCTAGCAAAAGCGCTGTTGGCGTAGGTCTTCTGTGCTCTAATCTTTCTGTTAGCAGGTACTCATAATTAGCTAGTCATCAGGCGGTGATGCCTACGACTGCGTCTGTTTAACCAGCCGGATAAGAACAAGCTGGATATATACCTATACTATTCGTCACCTATCTAGAAAGTGCAAAAGGGGCATCATAAGCAGACATCCCGACTAGCCCTTCTAAAGCAGTAACTCGGCGAGTTGTAGGCTTAGTTGGGTGTAGTACCTGTTGTAGATGCAAGAGAAAGAAGGTCATCCTATCTCCCAACAGTACTATCGCCTCTATAGAGTATTTCTAGCGGCGCAAGGAGGACCAAGCGATGCAAAAAGTTATCACAAATGTGTCCAGCGCATCCAAGCTACCTAGTAAAGCCGAAAGCTGCATACAGGTAGGCGGCGAGCCTTGTGAAATAAGTGGTAATAGTAGTGATGGTGGTTTAGATGTAGGAATGGTTCCTAACTAGGGTAGATAGGTTATGTTCTTCAAATCTCTAAAAATGGCGGCGGCTATCTGTTCTATATAAATTGTGGCGCCAAACGGCAGTAATAACTAAAGAAAACATGTTAATATTATGCAACTGCACTTACTAATTAATGTCTATTTTTTAGCTTTGGCGTTTAGAAAGATCTATAAGCCTTACGGAAGAGGAAGTAACTTATACTCATAACGGTATGTCCGTATAGTAATGGCGTCGACAAGGATAACTTGCTCTATAACAGAAAGGAGCATTTCTTACCGTGTCTACATCGTTCTGTTGCCTGATCCTTTGCGCCCCTAATAAGGAGATAAGAGCTAAGATGATTAGGCACACTAATATAACCCTGCCTAAAAGTAGTAATAAAGTATATACCCCTGGTAGGAAAGTGAGGAGTGTTGTCTAAGCTCCGGTCTGGCTCTCGCATCAGTGGAGCATCCAAAGTAAGGCCGTCGCCAGATGCTTATCCAGTATGGCCCCTCAGATCCATTAAGCGGTTAAGGAACTACCGAAGTCGTTAAGATGTAACTATGTATATGCAGCTTACTACAGGTAGTCTATATTTTTTGAAGCCATAAACCGCTCTAGCCTAACTGTTACCGTAACTAAGAACAAAAGCAGGGGTTTAATAATAATATTCTATCTACAGATAAGAGCCATTTACTGCTTTAGGAAGTGTGTTAACAACCTGTATCCTTTGTCACAAAGTAAACCTAATCATAAGGAGCCGTTTTGTATTAGGCTTGGCTGTCCCCTATGCAACCCGCCTGCCGGTCCATAAGTGGCTATAATACAGCAAAACGGACATCAGCCCCCCACAGTATGCCAAGCGCGACTGTTTCTTAACCAATGATTGGCATGCTTTTGTGCGTGAGTCTGGGCTGGCCCCTGACCCTTGACTTCGCCAGGTTTGCATGTCGGCGAGATCTGGGAGTCATCTGTTGGTCATCATCACCTCCCACCTTTCTAATACGAATGAGTATTAGAAACCGGACTGGTCTAAGCGAAGTCACAAGACGTCAGTATCACCATCTCTGTGACGGCTGAGTCTCATTATTGACTGCATTGTTGTTAGCTATGTAATTAAATAAAGTCTGCTAGATATCCTGCTTAAACGGCCAACTTATATAGTACGACAATTCCCTCGTTTACCTACTTCACGTTTGTATCACTGTGGCGAAAAATTCAACGATATACTCAGTAAAACCCCCGTAACGACAATAACTTCTTAAATATTAATCAAAGCCTTACTCCGTCCCGAACAAGCCACGTGATCAGTCCTGGCCGAGGATATAACATCTTCTGGAAATATGTCTAGGCCATAAACCTTGCCACAGCAAGGTATAGTAATATCAACAAACGGTATATACTATAAACCAGACGATAAGGCGATTCCAAACACAACAAGCCCTGGCACGCCATGTCACCTATTATTACCTCCTGTAAGGCTGACTTCCTCCTGGGGTCCCACTTAGAGGACATATTCTCGGTGTAAACGCTGTAACCATCCGTAATAACGTCTTCAAGTATGGCTCTTAAGCAGAAGATATTTAATAGCTACAAAACTTTTGTAACCCCTGGTCACTCAGATTAGATGCTGCCTCCTTGGTATTACATTTTACTATTATGTAAGAAACACCATATTCTGTCAGGCGTTAAGAGATTACTACTAACAAGTTTAAGTTTCCCAATATCTACATCCTATCAGCTGCTCCCTAATTTTTCTAGCCTAGAGGACTATAGGCAGAACTATCTCCCACTTACCTGGAACTGCTATTATAGATGCAATGATTGTTGCGTATTGTCCCTTAGCAGTTTCGTCTATAAGATGCCGATCAAGTCATTTCAGCCGTAGACCCACAGCCCCAACGTCCAGCCCGTTCTGCAACAGGGTTCTGTGTTAAGAAACGGCATCAATTAGGATGTTACTAGGGAGCCAAATAGACAGACGACAGCTTCCGCGTCATTATCGACTAGTGAGGTAGACCCACTGGACACTTGTTTCTCTGCTTGGGTCTGATGGCGTATGAGGGAACGCTGTAAAGTGCAGCGACGTTTATATATTATTCTTGCCGAAGAGAGAACAAAAAGCCAGAGTCCTGACACCATAGTGTGTAGATGTAAAAGATATTCCGTTTATATATAAGCATTATGACAAGGTCTGGGATCGCGTCTATAGTACCTATTCTAAAGCCTAATAATGTAAGGCCTTACTATATAATCACTTTATAACCTAATCTAGAAGAAACTACTTATGTAATCACTTTAGGCATCCTTCTCCCTAGATTGCGCATAAAGCTGCGTCTTTGTCCCCAGAGCTGAGACTAGACTGCGCTAACATGACCGTGATTAAAGAGTGCCCGGTTGCGGCATTATCCAAGTTCGTGCAGCAGACGAATTACAGATGGTTTGCAGATGGCTAACTATCTCCGGCGGATTCTTCCCAGCCTGCCATTTCGTCAGTATCGCTGATAGCTTATCTACAGAACTTGTTGCCAGGAATGCTGTGGTTAATATCTGCTCTTGCTCCTCTTGCTGGCCGCCTTTGTAGACGATTCTTGTTGTAAAGCGCGACGCGCGCCGTCTGACGAGCCTCGGTGGGAGATTGGCAATCCTGGACGCTATTGGTGAAGGGTCAGATCCGATTCACCTGTCTCTTGGAGGAAGGCGTATGGCGACTAGGCATTGTGGTATATATACACGCCTGGTGTGTGGACGTGGAACGCCTTGATATAGTGTGTAGTCATATAATAGTCAACGCTTTAGCTGCTAAAGCCGCTCTTCGTGATATCGGTGATGGCCTGCATGTAGGGCTTGTCCTTGGGGCCAAAGGGCGTATGGCGGATGGACTACTGCGCGACGGGGCTTGCCAGGCTCTTAAAAGAAAAAGAATCCACCGTTTTGACTTTAAGATAAACGCTATTTTGAGTGTAAAAAGAGTGACTCGGCTGGTTTCCCCATTAATTAGTCAAAACATTTGTTCCAGTGCCCTCCACGCCTTGCAAACTTCATACTCTCTACAAACCGCCCTAACGTACACCGGCCTAGCTTGTCAGCGCCGCATCCAGATAGTGGCATTACTCGATCATTGACCAGCACCCGAACCATCTCCTCGTCTGTCTTGTCGCACTTCATCTTCTCCACATACATACGCGATGCAAATGGAATTAACCAGCTAGTTTGGAACCCCCCGGCTTCTACTGCTGATGTTCTTCTTGTCTTACTTAGCGGTTGGATATCTTTATATAGTCCCATCGCGCTATAGATAGCCACCATAGTGTTACCCCTAGTAAAGTCGGCGTATATCTTCTTATTAAGTGGAAATGTTGCTGGATCTCTAGTGAGCGTTGAATTGGTTGATGTATGGTCGACTACTGGCTGCTGCGTTAACCGCGCAATGAGTTCATTAGTGAAGCCCACTCCTTGCGTTGGCCCTAGCGGGTTACCGTAACTCCAGCCATAGTATTTGCCGAGTGTCTCGTAGTATTCGTAGTTCATCCACTCCTCTGCTGTAAAGAGGTTACAAAATTCTGACTTTATACCGTTAACCACCGTGTTCATTGGGCATAGCTGCATTAAGTAAACAGTGTCAGTAGCTGTGAGATGTGCCCCAGGAAGTACTTTATTTAGCCTTAATGTGATAGGCTGCGTGAATTTTAAGAGCCATGAAGACTGCGCTTCCTTGGCGCGAGTAGCGTAATCTTTCTCAAAAGCTCTGCACAAGCCGTGGTTTAGGGTGTTGTTGAACCCCTTTGTCTTAGGGATAATATGAATATGCCCGGTGGTATCATGCGGCTTGTTATCGTTCATAGAATGATAGAAACCGCGTTTCCAAAGAGAAACCGACTCGACTACACGGTTTTCGCCAATAGTTCTGATAAACGGATCATTTTGGCCGGCCAGAGCTTGGTACCGTTCGTAGAAGGATCTCCCAGAGTCAAAAGATTCCTTCTTGCCGAATTGTGTGAGCTGGTCTGCACCAAGGGTTAAGTCGTAGGTGTGAATAAACTCAACGCCCTTGCCGTAGTGGGAGACACTCTTCTTTATGCGTTGAATAAGTGCCTTATACTCTAATATCTTGGCGGCAGTTGGATTTCGAGAGCCGTGCCGCGTCAGGCTTTGTACGAAGGTGATCTGGCAGCCAGGAGGTGTGGCAGCCTTGATCTCTGACGGCACCGGGAAGAAAGGAGAGAAGTGACCCCAGAAATGGGAAGTAACAAATGCCTGACCACCAATTGAGCTTTTTTGCACTGTTAGTCTTATACATTGGCAAACACATAAGGGTGCGCAGAGCATTCAACAGGACTTACCTGAAGCCTAGGACTAATAATAAGAATAGGAGATCCATGATGCCGGTCTCGGGGGTTGTAAGAATGTAGGTGATGGAGCTGGCTATCTCGAGCGGGATACCGTCTTATTCTATCTTTATTTATAAGAGTATCCCAGCGGACTTTCAACCAAAAACAATAACGTCAGCAACACTTATCGCGACAGTTCATGATTGACCTAAAAGAACCCAAATTTTAATCGGTGATCCGTCGCTAACCACTTCTCTTAGTTAAAGTTTGCGTAGGTAATGCCCCCCCCCCTGCCCGGCCTGGCCCGTTTATGCCATGGGTCTAGCAGTACACCAGATGGCGTATTAACTTATAGGTCTAAAGTAAGTTGTAGGTGGGGAAAATAAGAGGTCGGGTTTATGACTTGTGTAACCCGCCATTGTTTTCGGCTATTCCGTGTCTCTGAAGCTAGTATTGATAAGCGTTACTAGGGGCTTAAAGATCATGAGTGTTTGTAGTTTAAAAACATAATCCAGAACCCTGTATAAAAGGTTACATAGTTAAGTGATTGCACACAAAAGCACCCGACAAAAGGAAATGGTAGCTAACGTACATGTATAACAAGTGGCGTATCATAGTAAGTTGCGCAACTTAAGAAAAGTGGAGTTATTCTAGGTGGGCAAGATTACTGTTAGGAAATTGCCAAGGCCCCTAGCAATTATATAACAGCATCTTTGTGTACAGCCCACGTAGAATGACCCCACTCTTCTTAAGGTGCGCGGCTCCCTATGATACGCGACTCACTATGTATGTACATTAACATCTATTTCTATTTTGCTTTTAATCCTTACCGCCCCTAAACCCCTTCCACTCTACGTTTAAACAACCCTTATATTTAAATTACCTAGAAATATCTTATTCTCTAACATAATAAGCCTATAATTTATTAATATATCTGCTAGAAAGGGCTAGCTAGTCTTGCGTCAGAGTTTCTAAACGTCGGCATTAATTAACATATGAACATCATTATACTACATGTACACTAGTAAATCTAACTTTTTAATCCTATTAATTTATAATATTAAGGTTAGATTATCTTTATATATTTGTATTCTAATTAAACTATTACTTTATTTATGATTATACTGCCTACTCTGTTGTATACCTATAGTTAAGTAAAGTAAAGAACATAAGGGTACTTAACTGGCCGCAGATTACCGATCAAGAGATCCACTTAGAACGGCTAATCTATCAAGGTCATCGCTAGATTATTTGCTTAATCTGTTGTAGTAAGTGTTATAAACATTATTGTACTTTATAAGTCTATCTAGTAACCCCCCTACCCTATAAGCGACCCACCCCTATATATAAACCATTATTACTACCACTATTACCACCCCTATTACCACTTATTCCTTAGGCTTGCTGTTTACCTATATACAACTTTTAGCCCTACTTAATAATTTAGATATACTAAATTCATCTAGACTATCTATATTACTAGCTTCTAGATTTTCTCCCGACTAGATATTCTTTATTAATATAAAGGTGCTATTGAGTAATAGAGAGGCCTTTTTTCTTTTATAATTTAGAAGATTATTAGGCTAGGCTTTAAGTGTCTTGTTTTCCTTCTCTAGAAGGGTCTATTAGAATACCTCTTTATTATATCTCTTTTATACTTCTCTAGATAGGTAATAAATAGTATAAGTAGTTAACTTATCTTTAGCTAGCTAGGTTAACTAGTATAATTAATACTATAAGTTAGTAGATTAACAAAGGGTTAACTATAGTATAGGCAATTAATAGACAGGCATAAGGAATTAAGACATAGGTATAAGCCTTATATAGGCATAAGATGCACGCTCTCTAATTGGTCTAAAAAAACAGTACATCCCCACAAAGGCGGTAAAGGCAATTGCACTAATACCTCTACCTGGCTCTTTAAGGGGCACTCTTCACGGCCACAAAAAGGACCCCCTTGGGCTACTGCAATAGGCTGCAATAGGCTGCCGTTAATAGGCTGCAATAGGCTGCCGCAATAGGCTATAATAGGCTGCCTTAATAGGCTGCAATGGGCTGCCGCGATAGGCTGCACTGGGCTACCTCCTGTAGGTCTAGTAGAATCTAGTTATACTAATAGTTTTTTTTAGACTAATTAAAGAGTATATATCTTATGCCTATATAAGGCTTATACCTATATCTTAATTCCTTATACTTATCTATTAACTCCTATAGTATAATAGATATAGCTTTATTTTATAATTAGCTACTAGGCTACTATAAGCTAGGCTAGCTAGGCTAGCTAGATAATACCTTAGGTCCTAGAGAGTTAAATAAAGATATTATAGGACAAGAAGATTATATTATAGATAAATAAGTAGAACAAAGGATAACCTTAGTAGTATATATCTAGGTATATACCTAGGGGGTATATATCTTATTACTTATTACCTCTTGTTAAAAAAGCTAACCTTAATACACTATTTATACCTATATCTAGCTTTTATCTTATATTAATTATTTAGCTCTTTGTTATTACTTACCTTATTTTACTACTTTACTATTATATTTTACTTCTATGCTATATTACTTTATATTATCTATTATAGCCTTACTTTTTCTATTAGATCTATAATAGTGTTTTAGGCTAAAGCTATAGTAAGTGTAGTAAAGCTTTACCTACTATAATATATAAGCTAGTAAAGAAGGCACACTTAGTTAGTACTTAGTTAGTACCCTTATTTAACCTTATATATATAATATATATACTACTATAAATAACTTTTTTTTCTTAGTCTAGATTAATTATATTAAGTTACTATAGACTTATTAAAAGGTACTACTAACCTTTTATATATCTAGACTCTTTAACTAACTAAATAAGTAAACTAAGTAATATACTTATATTATTTAGGCTAGTAAGGGTTAAAGTTAAAATAGTTAGTTTTATAAATCTTAAACTAGTAATAATTAGCTAATATATAAATAAGTACTTATATTAAAAATAAGTAGCTATAAGCTAGATTATATATAACCTATATACTTAGCTACTAAAACTAAGCAGGATATTAATGCACAAGGCAGTAGGATAGCTAGTATATATACAACTAATCTAAACAACTCTGCCTAAAGGTCTTGTTGCTAGTGCACCCTAAGCGCCTATAAACACAAAGGTAACTTACTAACCCTTATCTAAGAAGATAATAACGTTAATTAATAAATCTTAGTCTAATTAGGGCCAAGGTTTATTAATTAAACGTCTACCTCTAGTTAGTAGTTAAACTTAGTTAGTAATACTGTTGTTACTAAGTAGTATAGAACTATATACAAAAGGTCTTGTTATTTAGTTATATAGTTATAAGGTAAGCAGAGTGCTTAATTAGGCTAAAAAGGCCTAATTAGGTGTATAAGATTAAAAGAATATCTAGGATTAGTTATATTACTATAATAATAAAGTTATAGTTAAAGGTAGAGGTTAACTTATAGGTATTAAATTCTATATCTTATTTATCTTATTAGTCTTAATTAGTATTTAATATCTTAATTAGGATAATTAAGGCTCTACTAGCTAGAAAAACACTTATAAAAACTACTTAAAGAAAAACCTAAAATCCTACCTTATTCTAATTATCCTCTATTCTTTTTATCTTATATTATATACTTAGTAAGAATAAAAGAATATAAAACCCTAAGGGGTAGTAATATAATCCTTAAGCTCTTTATATTCTTTCCCCTTATTCTTTTTTCCTTAATTAGGCTAGTCTTACTTACTTATAGTAGCATAAGCTATAACCTAATGTACTAGGCTAATTCTGTTTCTTCTCTTGTTCTACTTCCTGTTACACTTTATTAAAGGCCTAGTCCTAGACTAGTCTTTGTTTATATTAAGTGTAGCTTTTCTAACTAAAGGCTATAGTAAGAAGTAAAAATAAGGTCTAAGGTTTTATCTTTTTTACTACTAGTTTATAGAGGCTAAGGAATATACTAATATAGTTATCTTTAGTATAGTAAAGAATATCTTTTAACTTTTATTTCTTTAGAAAGGCCCTTTAGTGTTTTATATTTACTAAGGTAACTACTAAAGTATATTTTATTTTTTTATTTTTTAGTATATAGTTTATACTATATTAGTTAAGGTCTTAAAGATCTTAGGGTCCTTAGGTACTTATAGTTAAAGCTACTTTATTTATTTCTCCTTAGGGCTACTTAGGGGTCTCTTTAGTACTTACTTAGACAAAGGTAGTACACTTTTAGACCTCTTAATCTTAAGGTTAGTAACCTAGGCCTACTTTATTAATCTTAACTAGACTTATTTTTAATTTTACTAGCTAACTATTACTAAAGCTTACTTAATATCTTTAATTCTAACTATAGTTCTTTAACTTTTTTACTATAAGTATAATCTTTTAAATATACTAATTAGGTCTATATAGTCTTTATTATAACGTTTAGGTGATTAAGAGCTAGCTAGGGGAGGCAGAAGCTTTAGTAGTAAAGATATAGTCTACTAGGGCTTCTTAGTTAGTCTTGTGTAAAGGTATTTATCTTTTACTATATACTACTATACTTCTATTTTAAACTTCTTAAAGTCTTTTACTAAAATACTATCTAGGTAAAGTAAGGTTTTTAAATAGAACACTATTTGCCTAGTTTAGTTAGACTAGAACTAATTAGAGCAGAGCTATATATTAGGGATAGTAAAGAGGTAAGAGGCCTTTAAAATGTTTAGAGCTAAAGAAGTATAGACTACGTAGACAAAGACAAAGTAAAAGTTAGAATTAATAAAGTCCTTGACCTAATCAGGGGTCTTATAATTATCTAAGTCTAATTACCCTAGAGGCTTCCTTAATAAAGCGTCTATAATTATATTCTTTATCCCTAGAATATACTTTACTTTAAAGTTAAAGAGTTAAATCTAAGTAATCTATCTTATAATTAGGGCTCTAGGAAGGTTATAGGCACTACTATTTAGTTAGGCAACTAAGACCTAGGCATTAGTTTCTAGAAGAAACTTTACCC